TCAAATCGCGCTGTAACTACGGTTACAAAGAAAACCCAACGACACCGAGAAACTATGTTTATACTTAGTTGAAAACTTTTAACCGTTTTATTTCATTTTTTCGATGTAAGTTTTATTTGCCATACAAATTTCAATTATTTTGACCTGTAAAAAGTCTCATATTGAGCTTGGGTTACCCTGAGCGAAAAACAGATTTTCCCCTTTACTCCAAGATGGCCTCACCCTAGAAGCTGAAGTTGCCTTTTAAACTTTTTCAACCTCCTAAAACATACCTAAACATCGATTTCTCCAGAAACAAGAACGCTCTAAAAAGAGTTCAGTCTCGCTTTCTTCGAGATTACATGAGAAATAAGACGCTCTAAAAGTATTGACTCGAACTTGCTTGAAGTAATAAGGAGGCAATTAATTCTTAAGGAGCCTGCGTTCGGGTGTGGAAGCCATAGGGACCATGTGGGTAATGAGAAAAAAAATGCTAGCTAGCCAGGTTACACAGTTACATACAATAGTATAGTATTCGCACTCCAAACCTATTCTCCGACTTTAGCTTCCTTTAGATCGGCTATTTTTAATTATTATAAGTCCGCGTTAGCTGTTTCCTATGATTGTGAAGACCCACGTTCGTTCAAGTCTATCTTTTTAAAATGTAATAGTGTTCGTCCCTTGTCTCGTCCAATAACTTGTTGTATATAGCTGTAGTTATTCTTGTATCGCTGTGTTTTTTAATATTTCATGTTTTTTATATATATATAAGTATCCGGGCCCGCTGTAATTGGCCACAGCTGTTGCGGTGTCCCTGTCAACGTTCTTTCTGTTTATTTGTTTGTTTGTTTGTTTGTATTTTTTTTTGGCGAAGCTAACAAAATAGTACCTTGTCTGAATGTAGACCGCTTCTCGCGAACCGTTACACTCTTTCAAAGGCTTCTTCTCCAAAATGATCTCCCGTGTTCAAGATGCTAAAAAATAAAATTGTATAACATGTTTAATACTAAAAACTCTGAGAACTAAACCCTGTTCAGCGGCACACATTTTAGGCCAAATAAGGGAATGCGCAGTCCCCCTCCCTCTGGGGTTCTGAGAAGGAATCCCCGACCGGCAAGAGACAAAACAGTTGGCGCATTTGCAAGCATGCATGCCCAAAGCAGTCATGCAGTGACTGTCATAAGAAACAAACCCAACCTGATGAGGAATGATTTCCGGAACATCTGGCTTTATTAGCAGCTGTTTGATTAAATGACGTTCAGCTTTAGCAAAGCCGATTTGATGTCTGGGTAAGTCGGGTTGAGTTAAGTCCAGCCTTGCACCAGACTCCTAAGAGGGGAAAAAAGATAGCTAGGCATAAGGAGGGGGGAAAGGGCACTTCTCTATTCCCTCTTCAAATCTCCTCCGATATTAAGCCCCCTTTCCCCAAACGGAGGGCTTTTTCACCGGCCTAGTTGTGTAGGAATCGGTAGTGGGGTCTTTGGGGTGGATTCAAAGTAATATATAGTGGGTAGGATGGAATAGAACTAATGAAATATTCTCCAGATTCCCAGAGGTTGGCATGTATCCCATTTGAATACAACGTAAACAGTTCAGCTTCCATAGAGGAGTTGCAGCTAACGCCCTCCCCCTGCACCATGTGCCTCTGTGGGGGTGGGTATAAGTGTGCTTTAACGCACGCGAAAAGAGTAGAACTGTACTGATCAAATAATTGTTCTGCTGAGTGTCAGTCTTAAACTGTGCACAGTAAAATTTTACAAAACTTATCCTAAACCCAGTCATGATTATCGTCATTCCGCTTACGATGAAATAAAAGTTAGATGGCTGGCCAGCGTATTACCGCCTTTTTGTACGTTAAGCCACGCGCGTCACACGCACGTCTTAACATTTGGCCTGTAAGAAATTATTTCTTCATTAGAGAGATTAAGATTCACGCTTACGGCAAACGGCAAACGGCAGATTGAAGTTGAGAATTTCTCAAATTAGAAAATAAGCAGATAAAACTGTCCAGAACAATTCTTACGGATAAAACTGGCGTGAAACTACTTATTTTTCAGTAGAAGCAATAAACAATACACGGACATTAAGGGGAAAACTTGGTCACGTGGTACAAATTCACGTTTGCCGTCTGGCGTAAACGTGAATCTTAATCTCTCTAATAATTACTTAGTTTAGAACGCCAACAGAAAGATTTCTTTAAACCCATTTCGAATTCGCTAATTACTTTTTCTTTCTTATTCATTTGGCGTTGAAACAACGACCTTAATACACTTCCGAAGTTCCCTGGAAGGGATTATGACACGGCTTGCGTAGCGTCCTTCCCACACTCCGTTCTTTCTTGCTCCCATATTCCTTTCGAACTAAAGCTGAGATTTGTTTTGTCGGTTTATTAATAAGCGCTTGCCGATTGGCGCTTATTGATGCAAAACAAAAATAACACTCCCTTTTTCTAATTGCAAAGTTTTCGAAACAGTCAAAAAACATAAGTCTATGCAAATGCAAACAAGAGGTTGTCATGCTTGAACTGTCTAACTTTTAGATCCATTGATGGGCCATGTTACTTAGAACACTTTGTTTTTTTATGAAACATGTCCAGGAGTGTACACGGAAGAGGCTTAGCTAGCGAATGTGGCGGCAGAAAGGTAAGTTTGTTAAAAAGCAACTTCAGGGGAATAGTGTACTTCACAGATCGTTTCACAGGGCATTTATCGAGGCATCATAATGCATCCACCTTAATATTTCACATTTAATATAATGCACTTTTATGAAGATTGATTTTGATGTTCGGGATAACATGAAAAATTCCGATCGATGATAAGATTTTGCAGTTTTAAACGTTTGCAAACCATTTTCATAAGATCGAGAGCATAAAGCAGATAAAGGAAGAATGGATAACCAGTTCATGAAGCAGATCGTTACAATTGGTCTTAAATCCCCGGGCCGGCTAAGCTCTATTAGCTTCCAGTTATGACTTGCTCGATAAAAGATTAACTCAAGCTTTCTGTAGCCATTAGCTTATGTGCTCGCTAATTTAGTACAAGTCATGACCAGAGTTGAGAAGAATATATGGAACGAAAGAATATTCTTTGCGATCCTAGTGAGAAGACATATCTTTATATTTCCGCCTTGATGAAAACAGGCCGGTTTGAGCTATGAACGCCTGTGACCTGCCAATTCAAGTACGTCGTAGACCACAGGGTTTTTTTGTGTATTGAAGATGTCAGAAAGCTTATGCTTTTCTTAGCTTTTCCCTTTGCTGTTAAACTCATATATAAACGTAAAGTATCGTGTGCGTCAAAAGCTGACACGGTTGATAACCCAGGAGCAGTCATACGCATTGCCTGTTTTATATGACAAGTACAATTTGCGGCTCTTCTGCTTTTTGGGAACAACAGCTCAGACAAGCAGCGCTTTTGTCAGAAATTTGTCAGAAGTGAACGAAAAGCCAATGATCATAATTATAATCAGTGTATGCAGTACAGTCAAATGATAACTTAAAAGCCAATGAAAGCTAATTCATGGCTTCAATATTGATTTCCGTACTTAAGCATTGAAAATCGACAGGCAATATGATTATGATGAGGGTCAGAGAGTGCTCACTAATATTCTTGCATTGTCGCTGATATGAGTCCATGTCTGCGTTGTCGTCAGTTTTAACATTTGTTTTGCCCGTCAGAGTTGTGTTGCTCAGGTTGATTGTATTGTTTCTTTGCTTGTTGTTTTTTTTTTTCACTATCGTTCTCTTTGGCATTCAATAGACCGATAAGTTCATTCGGTTTCTTTAAAAAGCCGATTCTCTCTTGATAATATATAATGCTGGCCTCTAAAAACGACCTGGCAGTAAATTATTTCCGAACTTTCTATGTATTTGTTCCTATATGTACAAGGAAAGCCGTGTCTATTGTAATTATAATAACCCCTTAAAATCCAGTAAAGCGGAACTCAGTTAAGCGGACCCCAATAGCTCTTTTCCTGCTCATGCGCTCGCTTGGCATAGCCAGCTCAAAGCGTCCACGTTCGTACTAAAAATCAAGCTGGTATATAGACTAAATAACATCGATGACGGATGTATTGGATATTGTATATAAGTTTTTATAATAATTAAAGTACTCCTATTAATAGACTCGCATATTTCTATAATTTGTATACGATTAACAGTATTCGCAATCTCCCTTGACGCGTGACTTCGTCTTTATAGTTTCATGGTCTTGTAATCATAAAAATAAAATAACAAACAAGGCAAGAAAAAAACACTCAAGTAAATTAAGGCATGGGTCAACAGCTATTTTCCCGTAAAGCTGAAGGGGGTGGTCTATAATATGAACTATTTCTCATCAGGCACAAAAAATATTATAAACCACAAAAAATTATACTTCCGAATGCACAAATATTATGCAAATTAGGTCACATGACCTTACAGTTCTACAAAGTCTCAAAAAATCTTTAACAAAAAATGCGCACACTTTTTAGCAAGAGTAATTTTACTTAACTAGTACAAGAAACTACAAAATATAAGTCGCAACAAAACTGCGCTTGGCAACTTCGAAATATCTCGTTTATTTTGAAAATAAACGGGTTTTCCGAGTAGTCCCTAGTCTCCTAATACAAGTGTATCATTATAACATGCTTTTCCTCTAAAAAATCTTGACATTGCCGAGCAAAGAAATGATATACCCAACGGCCTTAAAATCATGAAACTAGTAGAAAAATCAAGGAAACAAGAAAAAGTGTGTCTATTTTAATTCAAAGCTTTTCTGGGCGTGAGGAGTCACGTGACCTCATTTGCGTATTTGGTGCCTGTCTCACAAGTTTTTAACCTGTCACTGCTAACGCATCGAAAGATAGACCACCCCCTTCAGTTTTCGACTTAATAACTGGGGACCCATTCCTTAAATAACTTGAGCAGGACGGAGTGACTTAATTGTTGTGGTAAACGGACTCACATTTTATCTTTCTTGCCAACGTAGGTTAAGAATCAATTTCCAAGACACGAACGTTTTCTTTCGCATCCAATTTGCTAAATGGCGACTGCAGCACCTTCACTTTTGGCCAGCTCTCCAGCGAAGACAAATGGAAACAAGCTGAGCAGGCTTCTCATCGATGGTGGAACTACGGTGCTCAGGAATGTTTTTGATCATTATCACCCTCCTACAACCTTGGCTTCTGATCTCAATGCCAATTACTCCACTCTTAACAACCTTTTGCGTAGAAGAGTACTAAATGGCCATCAGTGGGAAAAACTCTTCCCCCATGGAGGGGTACCAGATTCCAAAACGTTTGACATCACTCTTCTTTTCCTTCTGCTGACTAACATTTGTGGTTTATCCCCTCCCCTGACAGGATGGCACTCCAAGCCATCCCCTAGTGATAACTCTCGTGAGGCTAACCTTGCTCGCGTTAAGTTCTTTCGGAATGAGCTGTATGGTCACGTGACGTCCAGTGGTGTTGATGCGAAATCCTTCTCTACCTTCTGGCATGAAATAAGCACGGCTCTTATTTTTCTTGGTTTAGATCAGGCTGAAGTTGACAGACTGAATGCAGAGCGGGGTGGAGAGGAAGATTATCTTGATGCCTTAATTGAGTGGGCAGGCAGTGAAGAGGACATTAAGGCGCAGCTGAAGGATATACACCAGAGGCAACTAAAACTCAGTGAGACCCAATGTAAAACACATGACGTCGCAGAAGAAGTATTGAGGGTGGAGCTCAAAGGTGAGAAAATCCTTCTTGATAGCAAGTCAAAGTTGGATGAAGTAAGCCAGTTGGTATACGCAACACATCAAGCGACAAATGAAGCACATCAGGAGAACATATTGCGTTTGGATAAAGTGTGTGACTCCCAATCCAAAACCATTCATGCTGTCGATGTAATGCATGAATCAATTCAAGAAGTAAAACAGGAGGTAAAAGGCTTGACGAAAAGGAAAAACGAGCATGCAGATGAGGTACTAAAAACCCTTGTGAAGTCGGAATTCAAAGGAGACATAGAATTTCATGCAAACAAATTCCAGGAAGGAACCCGTGAGTGGATCTTCGAAAGCATCAAAGACTGGTTAGACTACCGGAGCTCGCCCCATCGCGTGATGGTAATCAGTGGCAATCCTGGGATGGGAAAGACTGTTATCTCTGCTGTTGTTTCGCAAAGAATGCAAAGAGTTGGAAGATTGTCAGGGAGCCACTTCTGTCAGCATAACAATTCACGGTACCGAGATCCACGTTTAATGCTCCAGTCTTTGGCCTGCCACTTGTGTCAAGCGATGCCAAGTTACAAAGATACTCTGGTAGAACAGTTGTCTAGAAATCTGGGAAAGGACCTCAACAACATGGGTGTAGAAGAGCTGTTTGCGTTGCTGTTCAAAGAGCCTCTGAGCACAGTACAAGATCCTGGAAGAAACACCCTAATAGTCATAGATGGCCTCGATGAAAGCGAGTACCAAGGACGCAATGAGCTTCTATATGTAATCAGTAACCACTTTTCTATGCTTCCAGTTTGGATTAGAATTTTGATCACAACTCGTCCAGGAAGGAGCATAATAGAGGCATTGCAACATTTAGAGCCAATCGAGCTTAAACAAAAGCGTGAGGAAAACTTAAATGACATTCAAACCTTGTTTGAAAATCAACTCAGCAACAAAATTGGTGAAGAGCATAAAGATATTATCTTGAAAGAGCTGGTTAAGAAATCAGAAGGCCTGTTTATTTACGCTTACTTTATAGTGGATTTTATTCAAAAGAATATTTCAATTCTCACCCCTGATCAGCTGGAAAGCGTATTGCCTTCAGGTATTTCATCCGTTTACTTGTCCTATTTCAAACGGTTAGAGAATGAACTTTGCAAAGAGCTTAATGCAGATGAGGAACATTTTTTGCGTTTCCTGTGTGCATTGACCGCTGCAAGGGAACCATTACCAGTAGAATTCATTGCCAAAATTCTAAACCCTGGAGGAAAATCATTGACTGCGCAAAGAAAAGTTAAAAAAGCAATATCTTCCATCTCTACACTGTTACCAGTTCGGGAGGGTCGTCTTCACTTCTTTCACAAGTCAATAAAGGACTGGTTAATAGCATCATTGCCCTATGAACAGCATGATTTCGCGGTGGATGAGAAAGAAGGTCATGACGTCCTTTCTGATCTTTGTGCTTCTGAACTCGATAGCATCCAGCGAAAAGGGGTTCATGACAGACAGTTCACGAATACTGAATCATATGCTTTGCATCATGGTACCCAGCACATGCTTCAGGTGGTGAACTATCATGACTGCGCTGACCAAACAAGAACCAATAGTGTCACAGTAGAACAAGTCTACAAATACGCAATGGACCTGGAGCTTGTTTATGCGAAACTTAAAGTTAAGAGCACATTCGCTACAGAAGATCTTCTCAGTCTTCACAGTCAAAATTGCAGTTTATTAAGTGATGAAAGAGTTTTCGTTGTGACTTCTCTCCTTAGTCTTCTAAAAAAGCACTCTTATATCTTGGTTGATCACCCTCACCTACTTTTCCAATGCTTGATTAACGAAGGAATTCCTGAATTATCGTCCTCAGCAGCAGTTATCCTTGAATCGTCAATGCCCCAAATAGCCTACATGAAATACAGAAGAACAGAAGGGAGCCGACAAGGCAAGATTTGAGTGTTCAGACAAAATCGTTTGTTTTGATGTTTCACCTGAAATGGATTTTATTGTGTGCGAGTGTCGAGATGGAACCATCCATCTGTGGTCTCTTCAGACAGGCAGCAAGATATGGGTTCGACCAACATTAACGAAAAAAGAGTTCTATTCTGGATATCCCGACAACACTGCATACCGTGTTGTAGGTAATACCTCTTTGTCTTATTACCGTTCTGTGACGTTTCATCCAAATGGGAAATCTGTGCTAGCAGGGACACTCCAATTTGTGTATACTGTAGGTGGAGAGAGGAAAGACCTTTTCCCTAGCAGTAAATGTGTTTTTTCAAATTTCGTCTTTTGCAAAAACAAGAAAGAAATTTTAACTTACTGCCCAAATAAGCCAAAGGAGGTAGCCTTGTGGAATATGGTAAATGGTGAAAAACTTCTTATCATCGCTGCTGACCAAGAAATTGCTGCTTGTACCATTTCGGAAGATGGGTCACAAGTTGCTTTTTCCCAAGTGACTCGTGGAGTTATTCTTTTTGATCGAGTTAACAAAAGTTACCAGATGATTCTTCGAACTAGATTGGTGGATTGTGGGCTGATGTATTTTACATCCGATAAGAACATTCTTGTTTGCGGGTTTCTTGGTTTTACTTTCGAGGAATACTGTGTCTCATATAAAGGTTTCTTTTATGGACCACCACGTTTCATAAGTATCACTGTTAATTCCGATCCACATTTGGAACCTCTTCAATTTAAAACTTTTACGTTATGGCCATACAATTCGTCAGGCACTTTGGACTTACGGGATGATTTTATAATGCTGACCATAACCCCCAAACATTGTCTGTATGCAGGTTCCTACATCAAACTCGATGATGAGTCGGCATTGGTTGGTAGCCCAGCTTGTAAATACGTCACAATGATAAACACTGTCCATGGGATGGCGTTCGGCTCTATAAAGGGTAGAAATGTCAAACAGATTGCCTTTTCTCTTGAAGGAGATGTCATTTATTCAGTTGTTCCAGTGCCTGAAAGAGAAGTAAAAGTAACTGTTTTGAGAATGTCAAGTCGTGACCAAATGAACACAAAAGTTTTCCCTGACTCCGTTTCCATCTTTCCAATGAGGGATGGTATTGTACTTTTTAAACACGACAGAGTCGCAGAGTTATGGAGCTTTGATATGTCCACTTGTCTTAGACCTCTCCCCAATGTCACCGGATGCGACATTGTTTCCTCTGTTTCAGGGGAACTGATAGCCTGTTGTTCTTCGGTACCATTTTACGAATTGTCAGAGGATTCGGATCTGGAGGATCAGGATTCCGATAATTCAGGGGACTGGCTTGGTTATATGGACGAATGGTCTGATTCCCAGGACTACCTGACTAAGAGCAAGCTGGTTATCAATTATTTGGGCGTTAACCGTACTAAAAGCACGACCGTTTCATCGCTGAACACCGTTTTGGATGCCGGTGAGGAAATACTTTCAGTTTTTTTCATTAATTCAAGTGAAGTACTAGTTTGCACCTCTAAAGAGTCAGAAGTGTTTAAAGCGATATTAGTCACAGTAAAACTCAGTTTAAGGAAGAATGGTTTAATTATGTGGGAAAGAACAGCGTTCTGGATCGATCCAATGGGTATAATGTCACACGCGCTCTGTTCCTCTAAACATGAATTTGTTGTCACTTGGAACACTCTTGAAGAAGGTCATGGCCTGCATATACTTAATGCAGATACGGGAGAAACACTACACGTCTTTCTTGGAGACCAAAATGACATTGTTGATTGTAAGTTTCTCGATGATGAATCTGTGGTCTGCTGTAGTGGAGACAACTTCCTTCGATTGTATAATGTCAGAGCTGGGGTTCTGCTGAGTATTCTAGACATTGGAGAGCAACCTTTCTGTTTGGGAGCCTGTTTGTACCAACCCCTTATCGCCATTGGTTTGTCTGGCACAAGAGTGAAATTCGTCCATGTACAGTTGCCAAAAGAAACTGAAAAGACTCCAAGGTTAGTTTCGTTTATCAGTTTGTTGGTCATTGCAGTAGATTAACTACACAGTGAACCCCCCGACAACCAACCCTCCTTGTGCCATGGAAATGCGATCATATAAACGAGGTTTTCAGATACGAAATTAAATTAGTGCGTGTTTTCTTCTTTGGTCGGAGCAAATGTTGCGTCGCAGTGACGGGATCCACTGAACTCAGACCACAACATGACAGTTCCAGTTTGTACCTTAGTTCGAGCTGGTTGTAAAACCACTTTCAAGAGTCTTAACGCGCTTTAGGTGTAGAAGTCCTTTTTTCTTAGATCTTCCACCGCACAATGCAGGGCTGTCTATCTTAGGTACTTCATAACTGCCTAGTCCCATAATGACCAGTGTAACGCAGCTGTGGGTCTTAACATGAAACTAACGACTTTCATAACTTCAATTGAATTGCAGCCTCAGTTATAAAACACCGGTGAATTAACCTCCTTAGAAGTCTCAGAGGAGCTGACACTTGACGAAAAGAGTTGGGTTCTTAAATCAACGCCCCTGAATTTATCTGCCTTTCTGAGAACGTTGAGGGAGCTCCGTGAACACTGAAGAAGCAATTGCAAAGCGGGGATTGAAATCCATTGGAACAGCCCTGAGGGACTGGATTTTAGTTTTCAAGTTAGACATGTTTTAAATTTGCATATCATCACAGGGGCGAGGGGGCGGGGTTGCAAGGGAAGGAACAGGGGTGTGGATGCCCCTTAATGGGTCTTAATGAACCTATCAAGATCAGAATGTTTCAGTAATTAACCGATTCGATTGCTTTGAAATTGAAACATAGCCTGGGGAGTAGCATAAAAACGTTTATCTCAAAGGTTACAAAAAATGAATGAAATTTTCCTTGCACTCTCAACCGTGGTATCAGCAAATATTAATCAGATTGACGAAATCTAGATCACAGTTATCACTAGCTATCAGTTGACAATCGTAGAAATAGGTTATGAGAATATTAGTAGAATTTTGCTCATGCCGCATTTAGCATGGCATTATTGTATTCGAAGTTGACGCTAGCTGTCTATAGAAACTAATGTGTAACGGCCATACCGTGGGAATCATAAGCACTCGTTACAGAGCTTGAACACAAAGATTACCTAGATCCACCCACGAAAATGTTCAAATTGTTGTTTTTACTGTGTAACAGTAAAAACAGTCACTTACTTTTGCAATAACGAGAAGGTTAAGCAGCTCACTCGATCCAATATTACTTCTCATTTATGGGAGAAGAAGCCGGAAGCGCGGGCTTTTTTCCTGCAATTTCGCTAGCAATTAATCCATATTTATAACTTATTTCGAGAAAGGGTGTCGGAAAAAGTGCACGCAATAATCCCGAAAGGCATTGTGGATGGTTTTTAGTTCACTGTTTTTGAAGGAAATTTGAAAGAATGACACGCGTACGAGAGGCCATGGACGTATGTTTACATGGGCTAAAGGAAAGCAACAAAAGTAGGTTAAACAGCTAGTGTCAGGAACAGTGTATTGATCATATCCCATATTGCCTTTCGGGATTGTCGCGTGCACAGTTTTTCCGACAACCTTTGTCGAAATAACTGTATATTAAATCCTTTACACAGCTGTTAAAGTCATGTTGTTTTAAAAAAGTATTTTGTAGATTGGAATGCCGATACAACGAGCTGTCAGTAGACTGGGAGAATGTACTAATTTTAACGGGCGTACGGGGGCACTGTTGTAATTAACTTACGGTCCTTTGGCACTTCGTTACTACGATGTTACGTTGTGTCTGCATCGAGTCTTCATCGTGTCTTATCGTCCTTTGGCACTCGTTACTAGGACGTCTGCGTCGTATTCCATGCTTACTTATTATTGCAAATGGGGAGACAAAATCACTTGTTATTATAAGGCTAATTAAGACAGTTTTCACCCTGCGATTGGTCAATTTGCGGTCCATAACTTACTGTAGCGACCAAAATTTAAAAATCAAAAACTCATTTTGCAGTTCTATTTTACTTATCTCTACAAAAATATTTTAAAGAAAGTATATGTCTGTAAACCCTGAGAACCTAGATGTTGACTTCGTCCCTCCACGTTTTGACCTGTGCTTATTTGAGAATAAAGGTGATGAAGAAACTGATTCGTAATCTCAACAAAGAAGAGAATTCTAGTCAGTAATCGAAAATTTAATCGTAGGTCAAGGTTAAGAAGACGAGAGTGGACTGGAAGAGATTAGAGACGTTTCTTTAAAGAAAAACGCGCGAATCGTTCAACAATGATAACAAACTTACCTTGACAAGCTTCTACTTTGTAATGTGCTATTTTTTTCTTGAGTCAGTAAAAACTTTCTTTTTCTGACGTCTATCAAATTACTCTCACATCGCTCGTCCTGCACTTGTTTCCCGGTCCCCCAAAAGAGGAAGTCGTACAACAGACATCTTATTAGCCTCGTTTTCTCGGTCCGTACTTTAAATTAAGGAACCTTGTTTTCTTTCCATCAATTTATGGCCCAAACGGGAATGAATCGATGGAAGACCTTGGTCTGTAATTTACAGTACCGAGACCGAGAAAACGAGGCCAATATGTAAGAAGTATTTATACCGAAGCGCTCGCTCTTTAGCCGGGTCTCCTTAAATGAACGTCCAATGGTATATGCTAATTGAAGTTTGAAAATATTTACTTTCATTATTCCCCTTAAGTTCTTCCTTCTTATTAAAAAATTAATTCAGTAGGCAAATTTTCAGATAAGAATACATTTTACAAAATTTGGTAGGGCGTTTTTTTACCTGAGTGCCTTGCTTAGGAGACTGGGCAACCACTCCCTACGTAATCGACGTTGGGTAAAGTTGCTATCTTCTATATCAAGTTCAGATATAACGCGCACGCTGATTGGTTGAAAAAGGGTGCTTTATGAGATATTAAACATGAAGCTAAAGCTGTCACTTCATCTGCCAATAATTTGTTTTGAAAATTAGAAAGTAACGCGAGGGGACTTAAACGGATTCTTTATCATAAGGCAAATAAAGAAGCTTTGACTGCGCTCTGTTCTGTTGTAAAGCACTTAAGAAGCGGCTAGAGTACTTAAGAAGTAGGGAGAAACACTAAACTACGTTTTTCTCGTTTGCTCCTACACTTCTTGAGTGCTCTAGCCGCTTCCTAAGTGCCTTACAACAGATCAAAGTACAGTCTAGGCTTCTTTATTTGTTGATAGGGACTTTAAGATCCAACGACGCGACGGCAATGAGAACGTCGCTCAAAAAGTGAATTTACGTTCTTTCAGTCTATATCGCAGTTATTCCTACCCACTTACTTTGTCAAATGTAGGCGAACTCTCCTGGAGTTGAATTCGTAGGTACCATATCCAAGTACAGTAAGAGAAATTAAATTTCGTAGTTGCTTGTTTACGTCCTCCGTAAAACGCGAAACTACGCATGTTCACGTCGTGATCGCGAAAAAAAGGGCAGAGAAATGTACAAAAAAGCATGGTGCACGTGCAGAGTTGTTGTTTTGCTAATCAAACCTATTGTTTTTTTTTGGCGTTCTCGTTATCGACCGCGTCGTTGGATCTTAAAGTCCCTAATTACTTTTAGTGTACAACAACCAGCCATCCTTGAAGGCCCCAAGAGAGTTTGCCTGTCACGGCTCAGTAAGAGGGCTATTCCAAAGAACTGCTCCGGAGGAACTGAAACTATTTTTCATAAAGTTTGAAAAGGGAAGAGGAATAGTGAGTTTGCTGTTGGTGTCTCTTAAAGAGCAAGTGGAGATATTGCAACGATAGTTAGCTTTCTAGTCACCTTCCTCGACCTTTATGTAAAGTTTCCCGGCACTCCAGAAAACTATAAGGGAAGCTTTCGGCGCGGCGATTCCTGGGATTGCATGGGAGGACAAGCGTTACTTATGATTGGTTAATGGTTGCCTTGAATACCATCGACCAATCATAACTAACACTTGTCCACCAAACCGATCCCAGAAATCATTATGCCGAAAGCTTGTACCCATTACCCTTGTATTGTTCAGGAGTGAAGAATTGATTATGCAGAAATAAATGCAGAGAAGGTTATCACAGTTCAAATGTACGCAACTTGTGCAGTTGCGAAAAGAAAGCCTGAAAAAATTCAGGTTTGCCGAGATTGAAACCCTGACCACTGCGAAACTTGAGTAAGAGCAAGAGAGTATCGTAAGAGGGTGATTGCTGTTGTTGTTTCTTTTCTTTTTCATTATTGTAATCCTCCATCAACAGCTTGTCTAAACTACTATTATCAGTGACGCCAATTCTGTCGAACAGAAATGAGTCGGCGGGACATAGCCTGCGTGGCGCGTCTCCCTCGCGCGCCCTTTTCTTTTTCGCCCCCATTTAAGACTGACTTATTTTGTTGGATTATAAATAAACGCTGGCCCATTGGCGCTCATTGAAGCAAAACAAAAATGACACTCCTTCCTTCTAATTGCAAAGTTTTCGAAACAGACAAACAAGATCAGTCTATGCAAATGCAAACAAGAGCTTGTCATGCTTAAACGTTCTAAATGTTAGATTTATCGATGGGCCACATCACTTAGAACACTTTGTTTCTTTGTGAAACATGCACAGGAATCTACATGGAATAGGCTTCGCAAGCGAATGTGGCAGCAAAAAGGTAACTCAATTAAAGATTAGCTTCAGGGCCTTGTGTACCCCACGGGTTGTTTCACAGAGCATTTATTACCACGTAGTGTAGGTTTATTCATATCACTTTTGATTTTAGGGATACTGAAAAATTCCGATTGATTCCTACACTTTGCAGCCTTCAAAGTTTCCAGAAGATTTTTAGCAATAAACTGATAAACAATTTATGAAGCAAATATTATAATTGACCTTAAATTCTCTTAAGCTCTATTAGCTTCTAGCTACAAGCTCAATGTAGTTTTTAATTCAAAGCTTCTGTCGCCATTAGCTAATGTGCTCGATATCTAGCAAAAGTCATGACCAGAGTTGATAATATCGAAAGAAGGAATATTTTTTGCGACCCTGAGTAGTGAGGAGACATATGTTCATATTTCCGCCTCAGTGACGAAACTAGGTCGCCAGTTTTAGTCATGAACGCCTGTGACCAGCCAGTTCAAATACATACACGTATTATAAGTCGTAGCATACCACCCCTTTTCTGTCTACTAAAACGGATGTCGGCAAGTTTATGCTTCTCTGTTGCCCTCGCTGTTAAAATCGTAGGTAAACGTAAAGTATTGTGCAGGTCTAAAGGCCGACACGGTTGATAACCCAGCCGCAGTCATTGCGCGTTTTATGTGACACATTACGGCTCTTCTGCTTTTAGTTGGCAACAACAGATAAAAAAGCACCCCATTCGTCGGAATTAGTAAAAAACTTGAGAATTCACAAGTGAACGAAAAGATATTGGTCATATCGATTCTGAGTGTATACAGTCAAATGATGACTTACAAGGCCGATAAAGCTAATTGTCATGGAGTCAATATGGATTACCGTACTTCAACATTGAAAATATATGTAATACTACATGCAATACAATTATGATGACAGTAAGGGTGTGCTTAGTTATCTTCTTATATTTGAGTGTCGCGGATATAAGAAACTTGATATGGTCCATATCTGAGTTGTTGTAAGTTTTCTTATCTGTTTTGTACGTCAGTGTTGTGTTGCTTAGGTAGATTTTTTTCATCATCGTGTTGTTCTCTTTGGAATTCAATAAACCGATACTGATAAACCGATAATGCATAATGCTTGGTTCTAACAAACAATCTAGTAGTAAATGATTTCTGAACTTCTTATGTACTTGCTTCCACGCAAAAAGGAAAAGCCCTGTCTCTTGTAATTAAACCAACTAAACTCCCTGATATCCAGTAAAGCGGAACCTTGAGGGCTCAATAGCTGTTCTCCTGCTAATATAACGCGCTCGGTTAACCAACTCAAATCGTCAACAAATCTTAAATCTAGTTGTTGTGTTCAATAAATACCCTCGACAGCAAATGTCGCGTTAAACACCCTTCTTGAAGGCATTGGTTTTTTCTTATCATAGTCATGCCAGTCATATTCATACTCTCCTAATTGTCTTATTAATTGTGCGGCTTGCCAACTCCTTTACGCGTGACTTCGTTTGTAAAGTTTCATGGTCTTGTAATCATGAAAATAAAAATAAAAAACAAGACAAATGAAAGCAATGACAAAGCGAGTTGATCGTTAATTGTGGTGTGAGTCACGTTTTATCTTTCTTGCCAATGTAGGTTAACAATGAATTTCCAAGACATGAACGTTTTCTTCTGCATCAAATTTGCTAAATGGCGACTGCATCACCTTCACCCCTGGCCAGCTCTCCAGCGAAGACAAATGGAAACAAGCTGAGCAGGCTTCTCATCGATGGCGGAACAACGGTGCTGAGGAATATTTTCGATCATTATCACCCACCTGGCAACTTGGCTTCTGACCTCAATTTCAATTACTCCATTCTTAACAACCTTTTGCGTAAAAGAGTGCTAAATGGCCATCAGTGGGACAAACTCTTCCCCTCTGGTGGAGGGGTGCCAGACTCCAACACGTTTGACATCACTCTTCTGTTCCTGCTGCTAACTACCATCTGCGGCTTATCCCCTCCCCTGACAGGATGGCACACCAAGCCGCCCCCTGGTGATAACACTCTTGAGGCTAACCTTGCTCGCGTTAAGTTCTTCCGGAATGAGTTGTATGGTCACGTGACGTCCACAGGGGTTGATGCGACATCTTTCTCCTCCTTCTGGCATGAAATAAGCATTACTCTTCATTCGCTGGGTTTAGATCAAGCTGATATTGACAGACTGAAGGCAGAGCATGGAGCAGAGGAAGATTACCTTGATGCCTTAATTGAGTGGGCTGACAGTGAAGAGGACATAAAAACGCAGCTGAAAGACATCCACCAGACGCAACTAAAACTCAGTAAAACAGTTGAAGATGGCAATTTAAACATGGAAGAGCTACGTCAAGCCCTAAGCAAAACTCAGGATGTTGTAGATGAAGCAGTGGAGATAGAATTCAAAGGACATCAAGAATTGAGGGCAGCACACCGGGAAAGCATGTCACGTTTAGAGGGAGTCTGTGAGTCCCAAACTAAAACCAGCCAAGCTGTGGACGAAATTCGTGAATCAATCCAAGAAGTAAAACAGGAAGTAAAAGGCTTGACGAAAAAGAAAAGCGAGCACGCAGATGAAGTGCTTAGGACCCTTGTGAAGTTTGAATTCAAAGGAGATATAGAATTTCATGCAAAGAAATTCCAGGAAGGAACTCGTGAGTGGATCTTCAAGAGCATCGAAGACTGGTTAGACGACCGGAGCTCGCCACATCGGGCGATGGTAATCAGTGGAAATCCAGGGATGGGAAAGACTGTTATCTCCGCTGTTGTTTCGCAAAGAATTCAAAAAGCTGGAAGACTCTCGGGAAGCCACTTTTGTCAGCATGACGATTCACGGTACCGAGATCCACGTTTAATGCTCCAGTCTTTGGCCTGTCACTTGTGTCAAGCGATGCCAAATTACAAAGATGCTCTAGTGGAACAGCTGTCAAGAAATCTGGGTAAAGACCTCAATAACATGGGTGTTAAAGAGCTGTTTGCGTTGCTGTTCAAAGAGCCTCTAAGCACAGTACAAGATCCTGAAAGAAACATCCTAATAGTCATAGATGGCCTCGATGAAAGCGAGTACAAAGGACGAAATGAGCTTCTACATGTAATTAGTAACCACTTTTCTATGCTTCCAGTCTGGATTAGAATACTCATTACAACTCGTCCAGAGAAGAACGTTACAGAGGCATTGCGACATTTGAAACCAATAGAGCTTGAACAAAAACAAGAAGAAAACTTAAAGGACATTCAAACCTTGTTTGAAACACAACTCAGCCTCAAAATTGGTGAGGAGCATAAATATGTTCTCTTGAAGGAACTGGTCAAGAAATCAGAAGGCCTGTTTATTTACGCTTACTTTATAGTGGATTTTATCCAAAAGAATGTTTCAATTCTCACCCCTGATCAGCTGGAAAGTGTGTTACCTTCAGATATTTCATCTGTTTACCTTTCCTATTTTACACGGTTAGAGGATGAACTTTGCAAAGAGCTTAATGCAGATGAGGAACATTTTTTGCGTCTCCTGTGTGCATTGACCGCTGCAAGGGAACCATTACCAGTAGAATTCATTGCCAAAATTCTAAACCCGGGAGGAAAATCATTGACTGCGCAACGAAAAGTTAACAAAGCAATATCTTGCATCTCTACACTGTTACCAGTTCGAGAGGGTCGTCTTCACTTCTTTCACAAGTCAATCAAGGACTGGCTAGTAGCATCATCGCCCTATGAACCACATGATTTCACCGTGGACGAGAAAGAAGGTGATACTGTCCTTTCTGATCTGTGTGCTTCTGAACTCGATAGCATCCAGCGAAATGGGGTTCATGGCAGACAGTTCACGAATACTGAATCATATGCTTTGCATCATGGTACCCAGCACATGCTTCAGGTGGTGAACTATCATGACTGCGCTGACGCAACAAGAGCCAATAGTGTCACAGCAGAACAGGTCTACAAATACGCAACGGACCTGGAGCTTGTTTATGCGAAACTTAAAGTTAAGAGCACATTCGCTACAGAAGATCTTCTCAGTCTTCACAGTCAAAATTGCAGTTTATTAAGCGATGAAAGAGAGTTCGTTGTGACTTCTCTCCTTAGTCTTCTAAAAAAACACTCTTATATCTTGGTTGATCACCCTCAACTGTTTTTCCAATGTTTAGTTAACGAAGGGATTCCTGAATTATCATCTTCAGCAGCAGTTATCCTTGAGTCGTCAATGCCCCAAATAGCCTACATGAAATACTTAGACGCAGGAGAACAGAAAGGAGCCGACCAGGCAAGATTTGAGTGTTCAGACAAAATCGTTTGCTTTGATGTTTCACCTGAAATGGATTTCATTGTGTGCGAGTGTCGAGATGGAACTATCCATTTGTGGTCTCTTCAGACAGGCAACAAGATTTGGGTTCGACCGACATTAACGAAAAAAGAGTTTTATTCTGGATATCCCGACAACACTGCATACCGTAGTGTAGGTAATCATTCTTTGTCTTATTACCGTTCTGTGACGTTTCATCCAAATGGGAAATCTGTGCTAGCAGGGACACTCCAATTTATGTATACTCTAAGTGGAGAGAGCAAGGACCTTTTCCCCAACAGCAAATGTATTTTTTCAAATTTCGTCTTTTGCAAAGACAAGAAACAAATTTTAACTGACTGCCCAAATAAGCCAAAGGAGGTAGCCTTGTGGAATATGGTAAATGGTGAAAAAGTTCTTACCATCGCTGCTGACCAAGAAATTGCTGCTTTTACCATTTCGGAAGATGGGTCACAATTTGCTTTTTCCCAAGTGACTTGTGAAGTTATTCTGTTTGACCGAGTTAACAAAAGTTTCCAGATGATTCTAGAAACTAGCTTGGTGGTTTGTGGGCTGATGTATTTCACATCCGATAAGAACAGTCTTGTTTGCGGGTTTCTTGATTTTGATTTCGAGGAACACCGTGGCTCATATAAAGGTTTCTTTTATGGACCACCAAGTTTCATAAGTATCACTGTTAATTCCGATTCCGATTTGGAACCGCTTCAATTTAAAACTTTTAGGTTATGGCCATACAATTCGTCAGGCACTTTGGACGTATGGTATGATTTTATAATGGAGACCATAATCCCCAAACATTGTCTGCATGCAGGTTCCTACATCAAACTCGATGATGAGTCGGCATTGGTTGGTAGCCCAGCTTGTAAATACGTCACAATGATAAATACTGTCCATGGGATGGCGCTCAGCTCGATAGAGGGTAGAGATGTCAAACAGATTGCCTTTTCTCTTGAAGGAGATGCCATTTATTCAGTTGTTCCAGTCCCTGAAAGAGAGGTAAAAGTAACTGTTTTGAGAATGTCAAGTCGTGACCTAGTGAACACAACAGTTTTCCTTGACTCCGTTTCCATCTTTCCAACGAGGGATGGTATCGTACTTTTAAAACATGACAGAGTCGCAGAGTTATGGAGCTTTGATATGTCCACTTGTCTTAGACCTCTTCCCAAAGTTACCGGATGCGACATTGTTTCTTCTGTTTCAGGGGAACTGATAGCCTGTTGTTCTTCGGTACCATTTTACGAATCGTCAGAGGATTCAGAGGATCTGGAAGATCAGGATTCCGATAATTCAGAGGACTGGCTTGATTATATGGACGAACGGTCTGATTCCCAGGACTACCTGACTAAGAGCAAGCTGATTATCAATTACTTGGGCGTTAACCGTGCTAAAAGCACGACCGTTTCATCGCTGAACACCGTTTTGGATGCTGGTGAGGAGATACTTTCAGTGTTTTGCATTAATCCAAGTGAAGTGCTAGTTTGCACCTCTAAAGAGACAGAAGTGATCAACGTGTTATTAGTGGAAGTAAAAGTCAGTTTAAGGAGAAATAATTTGATTTTGTGGGAAAGAACGGCGTCCTGGATCGATCCAATGGGTCTAATGTCACACGTGCTCTGTTCCTCTAAACATGAATTTGTTGTCACTTGGAACACTCTTGAAGAAGGTCATGGCCTGCATATACTTTATGCAGATACGGGAGAGACACTACACGTCTTCCTTGGAGACCAAAATGACATTGTTGATTGTAAGTTTCTCGATGATGAATCTCTGGTATGCTGCAGTGGGGACAACTTCCTTCGACTGTATAATGTCAGAGCTGGAGTTCTGCTGAGTATTCTAGACATTGGAGAGCAACCTTTCTGTTTGGGAGCCTGTCTGTACCAGCCTCTTGTCGCCATTGGTTTGTCCGCGACAAGAATAAAATTCGTCCACGTACAGCTGCCAAAAGAAACTAAAAAGACTGCAAGGTTAGTTTCTTTTATCAGTTTGTTGGTCATCGCGGTAGATTAACTATATAGTGAAGCCCCCAAAAACCAATCCTCGTTGTGCCATGAAAATTCCATCGTATAAAAGAGGTTTTCAGATGAGAAAATGAGTGTGTGTTTGCTTTGGTCGAAGCAAATGCTGCGTAGTGACGGTGTCCACTGAACTCAGTCAACAACATGATAGTTCCTGTTGGTACCTGTTGGTTTGAGAGTGTTGTAAAACCACTTTCGAGAGTTTTAACGCGGTTTAGGTGTAGAAATCCTTTTTTCTTAGATCTTCCACCGCACGGAGATGCAGGGCTGTCTATCTTAGGTACTTCACAGCTGCCTAGTCCCTTAATGAATAGTGTAACGCAAATGGGTCTTAACATGAAACTAACGACTTTCATAACTTCAATTGAATTGCAGCCTCAGTTATCAAACACCAGTGAATTAACCTCCTTAGAAGTCTCAGAGGAGCTGACACTTGACGAAAAGAGTTGGATTCTCAAATTAACGCCCCTGAAGGTAGCTGCCTTTCTGAGAACTCGTTGAGGGAGCTCCGCGAACACTGAAGAAGCAATTGCACAGCGGGGATTGAAATCCATTGGAACAGCCCTGAGGGACCGATTTTTGTTTTCAAGTTAGACATGTTTTAAATTTGCATATCATCACAGGGGGGAGGGGGTGGGGTTACAGGGGAAGGAACAGGGGTGTGGATGCCCCTCAATGAACCTATCAAGATCAGAATATTTCAGTAATTAACCGAGTCGATTGCTTTGAAATTAAAACATAGCCTAGAGAGTAGCATAAAAACGTTACAAAACATAAATGAAATTTTCCTTGCACTCTCAACCGTGATATCATCAAATTTTAATCAGATTGACGAAATCTGGATCACAGTTATCACTAGCAATCACTTGACAATCGTAGACTGAATCGAGTTATGAGAATATTAGTAGAATTTTGCCTATTCTGCATGTATCATGGCATTAAGGGTATTCGAAGTTGACGCTAGCTGTCTATAGAAACTAATGTACAACGGCCATATCATGGGAATTATAAGCAGTTACAGAGCTTAAACACAAAAATTACTCAGATCCACCCACGAAAATGTTCAAATGGTTGTTGTTACTGTATAACAGTGAAAACAGTCAGATCCTTTTCCAGCAACGAAAAGGTTAAGCAAGCTCACTCGATCCAATATTACTTCTCATTTATGGGAGAAGGGGCCGGAAGCGCGGGCTTTTTTCCTGCAATTTCGCTAGCAATTTATCCATATCTATAACTTGCATTCCGCTATTTCGTTTAGCATACAGCTATTTCGAGAAAGGTTGTCGGAAAAAAGGGAAGCGACAATCCCGAAAGGTATTGTGGATTGTTTTTAGTTCACTGTTTTTCAAACAAATTTTAAAGAATGGCAAGAGAAGCCATGGACGTGTGTTTGCGAGTGCTAAAGGAAAGTAACAAAAGTAGGTTAAACAGCTACAGTGTCAGGAACAGTGTATTGATCATATCCCATATTGCCTTTCGGGATTGTCGCGTGCACAGTTTTTCCGACAACCTTTCTCGAAATAATTGTATATTAAATCCTTTAAAGTCAAGTTGTCTCAAAAAAGTCTTTTTTAGATTGGAATAGCGATACAACGAGCTGTCAGTAGACTGGGAGAATGTACTAATTTTAACGGGCGTACGGGGGGACTGTTATAATTAACTTACGGTCCTTTGGCACTTCGTTACTACGACGTCTGCGTCTTATTCCATACTTGCTTATTATTGCAAATGGGGAGACAAAAATCACTCGCTATTATAAGGCTAATTAAGACTGTTTTCACCCTGCGATTGGTCAATTTGCGGTCCATAACCTACTGTAGGGACCAAAAAAAATCAAATCAAAAATCAAATACCCATTTTTATCTCCAGAAAAATATTTTAAACAAAGTATATGTCTGTAAACGCTGAGAACTTAGATGCTGACTTCGCCCCTCCACGTTTTAACCTGTGTTTATTTGAGAACGAAGCAGATGAAGAAACTGATTCGTTATCTTACCTAAGAAGAGAATTCTAGCCAGTAATCGAAAATTTAAACGCGGGTCAAGGTTCTGAAGGTTAAGAAGACGAGAATGGACTGGAAGAGATTTGAGACGTTTCCCTAAAGAATAAGAAGCCAATCCTTCAACAATGATGACAAACCCACCTTGACAAGCTTCTACTTTGTAATGTGCTATTTATTTCGTGAGCCAATAAAAACTCTCTTTTTCTGAAGCCTATCAAATTACTGTCACATCGCTTGTCCTGCACTTGTTTCCGGTCCCCAAACAGGAAGTCATACAACATACATCTTGTTAGCCTCGTTTTCTCGGTCCGTACTTTAAATTAAGGAACCTTGTTTTCTTTCCATCAATTTATGGCCCAAGCGGGAATGAATCGATGGAAAACCTTGGTCCGTAATTTGCAGTACCGAGACCAAAACGCTAATATGCAAGAGGTAATTATACCGGAAAGCTCGTTATTCACCCGAATTCCTATTCTCCTTAAGTTTTTTCTTCTTATTAAAAAATTCAGTAGGCAAATTTTCAGATGAGAATACATTTTACAGTACTTGGTAGAGTGCCTTGCTTGGGAACTGGACGACCACTCCCTACGTAATCGACGTTAGGTGCTATCTTCTATCTCTATTTGTAACCAAGTCCAGATATTACGTGTACTCTGATTGGTTCAAAAAGGGTGCTTTATGAGATATCAAACACGAAGCTAAAGCTGTCACGCCATCTGCCAATAATTTGTTTTAAAAATTAGAAAGTAACGCGAGGGGAATTTAACGGATTCTTTATCATAAGGCAAATAAAGAAGCTTTGACTGCGCTCTGTTCTGTTGTAAAGCACTTAAGAAGCGGCTAGAGTACTCAACAAGTAGGAAGAAACACTCGACTACGTTTTTCTCTTTTCCTCCTACACTTCTTGAGTGCTCTAGCCGCTTCCTAAGTGCCTTACAACAGATCAAAGTACAGTCTAGGCTTCTTTATTTGTTGATAGGGACTTTAAGATCTAACGACGCGACGGCAATGAGAACGTCGCTCAAAAAGTGAATTTACGTTCTTTCAGTCTATATCGCAGTTATTCCTACCCACTTACTTTGTCAAATGTAGGCGAACCCTCCTGGAGTTGAATTCGTAGGCACCATATCCGAGTACAGTAGGAGAAATAAAATTTCGTCGTTGCTTGTTTACGTCCTCCATAAAACGCGAAATTACGCATGTTCACGTCGTAGTCGTGCAAAAACGGACAGAGAAATGTACAAAAAAGCATGGTGCACGTGCAAAGTTGTTGTTTTGCTAATCAAACCTATTGTTTTTTTGACGTTCTCGTTACCGACCGCGTCGTTGGATCTTAAAGTCCCTAATTACTTTTAGCGTACAACAACCAACCACCCCTGAAGGCCCCAAGAGAGTTCGCCTGTCGTAGCTCAGTAAGAGGGCTATTCCAAAGAACTGCTCCGGAGGAACTGAAACTATTTTTCATAAAGTTTGAAAAAGGAAGAGGAATATTGAGTTTGCTGTTGGTGTCTCTTAAAGAGCAAGTGGAGATATTGCAATGATAGTTAGCTTTCTACTCACCTTCCTCGACCTTTATGTAAAGTTTCCCGGCAGTCCAGAAACTATAAGGGAATTAGCATAAGCTTTAGGCGCAACGATTTCTGGGGTCGTATGGGAAGACAAGCGTTACTTATGATTGGTTAATGGTTGCCTTGAATACCATCGACCAATCAGAACTAACATTTGTCCACCAAAACGATCCCAGAAATCATTACGTCGAAAGCTTGTACCCATTATCCTTGTAGTCGTAGGAGTGAGGAACTGATTATGCAGAAATAAATACAGAGAAGGTCATCAAAGTTAAAAAGTGAATTTACGTTCTTTCAGTCTATATCGCAGTTATTCCTACCCACTTACTTTGTCAAATGTAGGCGAACCCTCCTGGAGTTGAATTCGTAGGCACCATATCCGAGTACAGTAGGAGAAATTAAATTTCGTCGTTGCTTGTTTACGTCCTCCGTAAAACGCGAGATTACGCATGTTCACGTCGTAGTTGTGCAAAAACGGGCAGAGAAATGTACAAAAAAGCATGGTGCACGTGCAACTTTGTTGTTTTGCTAATCAAACCTATTGTTTTTTTTGACGTTCTCGTTACCGTCCGCGTCGTTGGATCTTAAAGTCCCTAATTACTTTTAGCGTACAACAACCAGCCATCCCTGAAGGCCCCAAGAGAGTTCGCCTGTCGCAGCTCAGTAGGAAGGTTATTCCAAAGAACTGCTCCAGAGGAACTGAAACTATTTTTCATACAGTTTGTATAGGGAGGAGGAAAAGTGAGTTTGCCGTTGGTGTCTCTCAAAAAGTACGCGGAGACATTACTACAATAACTAGCTTTCTACTCACCTTCCTCGACCTTTATGTAAAGTTTCCCGGCACTCCAGAAACTATAAAGGAATGAGTATAAGCTTTCGGCGCAACGATTTCTGGGATAGTATGGGAGGACAAGCGTTAATAATGATTGGTTAATGGTTGCCTTGAATACCATCGACCAATCATAACTAACACTTCCAAACCGATCCCAGAAATCATTACGCCGAAGGCTTGTACCCATTACCCTTGTGGTCTCAGGAGTGAGGAATTAATTATGCAGAAATAAATGCAGAGAAGGTCATCACAGTTAAATATGTACGCAACTTATGCAGTTGCGAAAAGAAAGCCTGAAAAAAATCAGGTTTGCCGAGAATGGAACCGTGACCTCTGCGAAACTTGGGTAAGAGCAAGAGAGTATCGTAAGAGGGTGATTGCTGTTGCTGTTTCTTTTCTTTTTCATTATTGTAATCCTCGATCAGTAGCTTCTCTAAACTACTCTTATCAGTGACGCCAATTCTGTCGAAGAGAAATGAGACGACGGGACATAGCCTGCGTGGCGTGTCTCCCTCGCGCGCCCTTTTCTTTTTCGCCACCATCTAAGACTATGACTTATTTTGTTGGATTATAAATAAACGCTGGCCCATTGGCGCTCATTGAAGCAAAACAAAAAATGACACTCCTTCCTTCTAATTGGAAAGTTTTCGAAAGAGTCAAACAAGATCAGTCTATGCAAATGCAAACAAGAGCTTGTCATGCTTAAACGTTATAAATTTTAGATTCATCGATGGGCCACGTCACTTAGACCACTTTGTTTCTTTGTGAAACATGCACAGGAATCTACACGGAAGAGGCTTCGCAAGAGAGTGTAGCAGCAGAAAGGTAACTTAATTAATGATTAGCTTCAGGGCCTTGTGTACCCCACGGATCGTTTCACAGAGCATTTATTACTACGGAGTGTAGTTTTATCTATATCACTTTTGATTTTCGGGATTATGAAAAATTCCGATCGATGCCGACACCTAGCAACTTTCAAAGTTTCCAGAAGATTTTTAGCAATAAACTGATAAACAATTTATGAAGCTAATATTATAATTGACCTTAAATTCTCTTAAGCTCTATTAGCTTCTAGCTACAAGCTCAATGTACTTTTTAATTCAAAGCTTCTGTGGCCATTAGCTAATGTGCTCGATATCTAGCAGAAGTCATGACCAGAGTTGATAATTTCGAAAGAAGGAATATTTTTTGCCACCCTCAGTAGTGAGGAGACATATGTTCATATTTCCGCCTCAGTGACGAGACTAGGTCGCCAGTTTTAGTCATTAACGCCTGTGACCAGCCAGTTCAAATACGTACACATAATATAAGTCGTAACATACCACCCCTTTTCAGTCTACTAAAACGGATGTCGGCAAGTTTACGCTTCTCTGTTGCCCTCGCTGTTAAAATCCTAGATAAACGTAAAGTATTTTGCACGTCTAAAAGCTGATACGGTTGATAAGCCAGCCGCAGTCATTGCGCGTTTTATGTGACACATTACGGCTCTTCTGCTTTTAGTTGGCAACAACAGATAAAAAAGCATCCCATTCGTCGGAATTAGTAAAAAACTTGAGAATTCACAAGTGAACGAAAAGCTAGTGGTCATATCGATTCTGAGTGTATACAGTCAAATGATGACTTACAAGGCCGATAAAGCTAATTGCCATGGAGTCAATATGGATTACCGTACTTCAACATTGAAAATATATGTAATACTACATGCAATATAATTATGACGACAGTTAGGGTGTGCTCAGTTATCTTGCTTCTTATATCGAGGGTCGCGGATAGGAGAAAATTGATATGGTCCATGTCTGAGTTGTCGTCAGTTTTCTTATCTGTTTTGCACGTCAGTGGTTGTGTTGCTTAGGTAGATTTTTTTTACCATCGAATCGTTCTCTTTCGAAATCAATAAACCGATACTGATAAACCGATAGTGCATAATGCTTGGTTCTAACAAACAATCTGGTAGTAAATGATTTCTGAACTTCTTATGTACTTGCTTCCACGCAAAAAGGAAAGGCCCCATCTCTTTTAATTAAACCAACTAAACTCCCTGATATCCAGTAAAGCGGAACCTTGAGGGTTCAAAAGCTGTTCTGCTGCTAATATAATGCGCTCGGTTAACCAAATCAAATCGTCAACAATCGTAAATCTAGTTGTTGTGTTCACTAAATACCCTCGACAGCAAATGTCGTGTCAAACACCCTTCTTGAAGGCATTGGTTTTTTCTTATAATAGTCATGCCAGTCATATTCATACTCTCCTAATTGTCTTATTTCTATTTTGTCCGGCTTGCCAACTCCTTTACGCGTGACTTCGTTTGTAAAGTTTCATGGTCTTGTAATCATGAAAATAAAAATAAAAAACAAAACAAATTAAAGCAATGACAAAGCGAGTTGATCGTTAATTGTGGTGCGAGTCACGTTTTATCTTTCTTGGCAATGTAGGTTAACATTGAATTTCCAAGACATGAACGTTTTCTTCTGCATCAAATTTGCTAAATGGCGACTGCAGCACCTTCACCCCTGGCCAGCTCTCCAGCGAAGACAAATGGAAACAAGCTGAGCAGGCTTCTCATCGATGGCGGAACAACGGTGCTGAGGAATATTTTCGATCATTATCACCCACCTGGCAACTTGGCTTCTGACCTCAATTTCAATTACTCCATTCTTAACAACCTTTTGCGTAAAAGAGTGCTAAATGGCCATCAGTGGGACAAACTCTTCCCCCCTGGTGGAGGGGTGCCAGACTCCAACACATTTGACATCACTCTTCTGTTCCTGCTGCTAACTACCATCTGCGGCTTATCCATATCCCCTCCCCTTACAGGATGGCACACCAAACCGCCCCCTGGTGATAACACTCTTGAGGCTAACCTTGCTCGCGTTAAGTTCTTCCGGAATGAGTTGTATGGTCACGTGACGTCCACAGGGGTTGATGCGACATCTTTCTCCTCCTTCTGGCATGAAATAAGCATTACTCTTCATTCGCTGGGTTTAGATCAAGCTGATATTGACAGACTGAAGGCAGAGCATGCAGCAGAGGAAGATTACCTTGATGCCTTAATTGAGTGGGCTGACAGTGAAGAGGACATAAAAACGCAGCTGAAAGACATCCACCAGACGCAACTAAAACTCAGTAAAACAGTTGAAGATGGCAATTTAAACATGGAAGAGCTACGTCAAGCCCTAAGCAAAACTCAGGATGTTGTAGATGAAGCAGTGGAGATAGAACTCAAAGGACATCAAGAATTGAGGGCAGCACACCGGGAAAGCATGTCACGTTTAGAGGGAGTGTGTGAGTCCCAAACTAAAACCAGCCAAGCTGTGGACGAAATTCGTGAATCAATCCAAGAAGTAAAACAGGAAGTAAAAGGCTTGACGAAAAAGAAAAGCGAGCACGCAGATGAAGTGCTTAGGACCCTTGTGAAGTTTGAATTCAAAGGAGATATAGAATTTCATGCAAAGAAATTCCAGGAAGGAACTCGTGAGTGGATCTTCAAAAGCATCGAAGACTGGTTAGACGACCGGAGCTCGCCACATCGCGTGATGGTAATCAGTGGAAATCCAGGGATGGGAAAGACTGTTATCTCCGCTGTTGTTTCGCAAAGAATGCAAAAGGTCGGAAGACTCTCGGGAAGCCACTTTTGTCAGCATAACAATTCAAGGTACCGAGATCCGCGTTTAATGCTCCAGTCTTTGGCCTGTCACTTGTGTCAAGCGATGCCAAGTTACAAAGATACTCTGGAAGAACAGCTGTCAAGAAATCTGGAAAAGACCTCAACAACATGGGTGTAGAAGAACTGTTTGCGTTGCTGTTCAAAGAGCCTCTAAGCACAGCACAAGATCCTGGAAGAAACACCCTAATAGTTATAGATGGCCTCGATGAGAGCGAGTACCAAGGACGCAATGAGCTTCTACATGTAATCAGTAACCACTTTTCTATGCTTCCAGTTTGGATTAGAATTTTGATCACAACTCGTCCGGAGAGAAGCATAACAGAGGCATTACGGCATTTAGAGCCTATTGAGCTTAAACAAAAGCGTGAGGAAAACTTAAATGACATTCAAACCTTGTTTGAAAATCAACTCAGCAACAAAATTGGAGAAGAGCATAAAGATGTTCTCTTGAAAGAGCTGGTTAAGAAATCAGAAGGCCTGTTTATTTACGCTTATTTTATAGTGGATTTTATCCAAAAGAATGTTTCAGTTCTCACCCCTGATCAGCTGGAAAACGTATTGCCTTCAGGTATTTCGTCCGTTTACTTGTCCTATTTCAAACGGTTAGAGAATGAACTTTGCAAAGAGCTTCATGCAGATGAGGAACATTTTTTGCGTTTCCTGTGTGCATTGACAGCTTCAAGAGAACCATTACCAGTAGAATTCATTGCCAAAATTCTATACCCTGGAGAAAAGTCTTTGACCGCGCAGCGAAAAGTTAACAAAGCAATATCTTGCATCTCTACACTGTTACCAGTTCGGGAGGGTCGTCTTCACTTCTTTCACAAGTCAATCAAGGACTGGTTAACAGCATCATTGCCCTATGAACAACATGATTTCACCGTGGACGAGAAAGAAGGACATGACGTCCTTTCTGATATTTGTGCTTCTGAACTCGATAGTATCAAGCGAAAAGGGGTTCATGGCAGACAGTTCACCAATACTGAAAGTTATGCTTTGATTCATACTGTCCAGCACATGCTTGAGGCCAATGGTGATCATCAATGGATTGACCGCTCAGAGACCATGACTGGCACATCTAATCAGTTATACCAGTATGTGACGGACCTAGAGCTTATTTACGCAAAACTCTGTGTAAATAGAACATCCGCTACGGAGGATCTCTTCCGTATTTGCAATGAACATTCGGGTCTACTGAATGAGCAAAGACTTTCGATTGCAACACTGCTCTATAAAGTTCTAAGAAAACACTATTATATGTTGCTAGATCACCCTCACCTATTTTTCCAATGTTTGATTAACGACGGGGTTCCTGTATTATCGTCTGAAGCAGCAAGTATCGTCGAATCATCTTTACCCACAATACCCTACATGAAAAACCTAGATAATAGCAAGGAACAGACGAGGGAAGCAGATGAAGCAAGGTTCTACTGTTCAGACAATATCGCATGTTTTGATGTTTCACCTAAAATGGATTACCTGGTATGTGAGTGTCGAGATGGAACAATCCATCTGTTTTCCCTGCAGACTGGTACCAAGGTATGGGTTCGTCCATCACCAATAAAGAGAGAGTATGGTTTTAGAAATGAAGATCATGTGAATGGCGCATATCATCAGATAGAGATGCATTTTTTATCATTTTACAATTCTGTCATCTTTCATCCAAATGGGAAGTCGATAATACCTGGAACCCTTCAATATGTTTACACCCTAACTGGAGAGAAAGAAGACCTTTTTCCAGAAAGTGATTGTACGTTCTCAAATTGCGCCTTACGTTCGTTAAAAGATGGGGACTCACTATTCACACATTGCCCTGCAGAGCCAAAGGGGATAAGCATTTGGGGTATGGAAAATGGCCAAAAACTATTTATTGATTGTGAGAAATACATATTTTCTTTTACCGTTTCTGATGATGGGTCACTAATTGCTTTTTCGAATCTTGACGTAGATCACTCTGGTACAATTACTGTTTTTGACTCAAAACGCCCTTCTCGTTTGTATGTTATACTACCCGAACCCTTGGGTTATTTCGTGTGTGGATTGTTACGCTTCACATCGGATAACAACACTCTTGCTTGTGGCTTTCTACACAAAAAATGCGCAGATGAAGATGAAAATTATTGCCTTTATTGCGACTTAAGATTCTGTTATGACGCTACCGGAGAACCTGAATTGATCTTTCTTAGGCCTTTAAATGCATATAACTCTCATTTAGAAAAAGTTGAACGTAGACCCTTCTTATTGTGGCCCTGTGGTCAATCACGTAATTTAAAGAACACCGATTTTCTTGAGCAGGACCACAGCTTTTTCTGGAGCAAAAAAATTCAGAGAAGAATTCCAAATTTATGTACGGGTTCTTCCATCCTACTTGACGATGAAACAGTATTGGCTGGTAGCCCGGATCACAACTATGTTATGATGTTAAATGTTGGCGTACTAAAGAGTGAACCTGATTTCACAAACACGAAGACAATAATCGACTTTCATAAAAGAGAAATTGTATTTTCTCTGGAAGGAGATATGATCTACTTCATTATTTCTGAAAAATCCATGTTGTTGCCATCTCCTCCTTCTTCACTCACTGTCTGGAGAATGTCAACTCGAGAAATCCTGACGTCAAAGACATTCTCTGGTCCTACATCTATCGCTCCAATGAAGACAGGTGTCGTACTCGTTACTACTGAAAAATCGCGGATTGTAGCAGAACTCTGGAATTTCGATCTGTCTGAGTGTAATCAACGTATTGTAGAACTTACTTCTAAGACTACTATGCTATACAGAGTTAACATGTTCCCTGTATCTGATAATCGGATAGCATTCTTTTATCACCGGAGATCATACGAATTAAAATGCATCAGAAGTTTACAAAACCGGGAGGAAAACGAAGAATCGTCCCAAGCAGATTTGTTAGAATGCTCAGATGGTAACTTCGATTGCGTTGACTTCATAAACGTTACCGACTTTGGAGGAAAGCTTATTTCCTCGCTAAGGATCAAATCCGCTGGCGTTAACGACAGCTTAGATTGCATCCCTTGCAGTAGCAGTTTAAGCCAAGTTCTGGTCTGTAGATCCAGGGTTATAATGATTGGAAATCACGGCCTTGTAGACAAGGAGAATGTAACAGTGAGTTTGAGGAATGAAGGTATCACAAGATGGGAAAGACACGCGACATTTTCTGCCGAATCAATGAACCTGTTCAACCCAGACATCATTTTTTCGCCCAAAAATGATTGCATAGTCACGTGGAACACTCTCGACGGGGCCAAGGTATACACGTTCTTCATGCGGAAACTGGAGAGACATTGCAGGTCTTTCTAAGAGACCAGGCCCAGGTTGTTCAAACGTTGGATAACGCTATCCACCGGATAAATCACTATCCAACGGATAAGTATTACGGAAATCAATTACGCTATCCGCTGGATAGTGATTTATCCGGTGGATAGCGCTATCCGACGTTTGAACAACCGGGGCCAGAGAGATATTGTTAAATGTAAGTTTTTAGATGATTAATCTCTGGTATGCTGCAGTGAGGACAACTTCCTTCGATTATATAATATCAGAACCGGAGATCTACTAAGTATTTTAGACACTGGTGAGCGACCGCTCTCTTTGGGAGCCTGTTTATTACAGCCTCTTGTCGCCATTGGTTTGTCCGAGACAAGAATAAAATTCGTCCACGTACAGTTGTTGCCAACAGAATCTAAAAAGAAGAAATAAAGGTGAGCCTTTCTCTACTCGGTCAAAAATAGGTACAAGGCCAGTTTCGCGAGTTACTGTAACCTAACAGCACCTAGATGCTACGAGCAGTCTCCGTTTTATCAGTCCATAGAGCGAAAGGCGCGATACACGAAAATAACCACGCGCGTGACTAAGGGTGGCTCTCTCCGAGCGTGTACTTCCTGCACTAAAAGCATTAATTTGAAGAAAATAGGGAACTACTTGCAGCCTAAACCAGGAGCCATAATTAATCATAGCGCCTGGCCTAAACAGTCCCCACACCACAACACGATAAGTAGATATACGTCTAGAGTGAATCTCATTCTTACAAATTTTCGCGCAAAAATTCAGAAATCGTATTCCGCGATTTAGTGGAAACAAATACCGAAGTTACAAAGGGTATAATACCATTCTTTGATCTGCTGATGAAAAGGAACAGCGCCAAAAAGAAAGAGCCGACCATAAAGTTTAGTGAATGAACCAAAGACGGTTTTGAAAGATTTATACTGTTGGGCACAGATGATAGTGAAGCAGAGAGAAAATATGGAAAAATCTAAGAAAAAGAACCATGTTTGAAATTACCTAAAATCATCGCCATCACGTCCACGACTTACAGCAACTTTAAGAATTATTTTGTTTTGTAACGTGACATAGTACTAAATTTCCCAATTTTAAGTTTTCTTGCACTCCAGTTTTCGTGGGTGGTAGACTTCGGGATTGTTTTGAATTTGCGAAAAACGCGAATTTCAGACTTGATAGCTTCCAGCTTTCTTGAATAACACAACCGACTTTCTGTTTTCAGTTGCAGTTTCAACACAAGTAAATTGAGCAACTTCTGGTGGTCTGTCATTAGCCGGGCACAAAGAGCTGGATTCTTCAAATCAGTGACCATGATCTTTATTTAGTGTTGTGCTTGACGATGGATAAAGAGCATGAAAATAAAATGATTGCAAAAGCTGGAAATCAAATCCATTTGAAGAGCCCTGGATGCAAGCTGCTATATTCAGGAATTGAAAGAGACATGTATATTACGAACTTTGAAATTTCGTGCATTAACAGAGTAGCGGATCAGACCAATCAGGCCAACTGCTTTGAAACTGGAAAAAATTAAGGCTGAACATTCGCAAGCAGCCTTCATTTGGTAGGAACTTGTTTTGCACCGTCAATCATGATCAGTACATTTTTTTAACCACTGGCTTATAATGTGAATTGACGCAAAACGTAACTAAACCGACAAGAAGGACATTGTGAACCTTTTCACTTTGGTATGGCTTTTTTTTAATGTTCCAGATGTCTGAAAGAGGCTCACATCTTCCAGTAACACTGTAGTAAAAACAAACGCACCATGTAATTTACTATGTATGCAGTAGTGACATTAAGGTCATGTTAAGACGTTCCTTGACCTGGATTCCACCACACTGCTTTTGAGACTTGACACGCGCGTTAACTTGATGTTAATTTATATAATAGTTAAAATTGTGTGTTGCACGAATAGTTAAAATTAATGGTCTACATAGTTGACGTTGCCTTGTAGAAGTAATGTGTAACGGCTAGATCTAGAAGGGGTGGAAATTATCAGCAGTTAAACAGATTCAACAGATGAAATGAGTTGAACTTCCCACCTCCTCTTTATCAAAACTCCTAGATCCAGCCACTTTGCCTACCCTGCTTGGAGAGGTTTGTCTGCTCCAGCATGGTTTTAAGCATTAAGGAAGTAAACAAGCCAACAACGCAAATGTTAGCTACGAGAAAGGCTTCATATATGCTAAAAACCATACCGAAAAAAAAACCGCTGCTGGCAGGGTAACGTTACCATGTTTTTACTGTGTAACAGTGGAGTGAAAAGGGCGAGGGTCTGATTTCTTTTTTTCGTAAAATGGCTGGCGATGAAATCAATTTATTACACGAGGTCCACAGTTTGATTTTCCAGATATGTTACGTCTGAACATGTTTTAAGGTCGACCTGATGGTACTATCAAGAAATAGCAAAGTTCCAGAAAACAGGGATAATGTATGGGGTCATGTTGTACAGTGGAATCTCCATATAACCCCTCTATAATCCGCGTCCCGGTACAATGTGAAGTACACAGTACAGTAAAACCCCGTTAATACGGACGTACAGTGATGGGACCATAGAAAGTGTCCGCATTAAGTGGGTTGAATTTAGAGAAAATGTAAGGACTTTCTTTCCCCAGGGGACAAAGCAAACTGTCCATAATAACGAGGTGTGCGTATTAAGTGGGTGTCCGTAAAGCGGTGTTTGACTGTATGGAACCATGCAGACCACACAAGAGAGGATCCTCTCCGCTTGGCACCCAATATAACTTTTATATACCTTCTTTTTATTAGGTGCAATTACAACACATGGTAAATTTATTTTCATCTTGAAAATAGTACCACGATAATAGTAATTATTAGTTTTTTATCCATGGTGGGGTCACGGTGTCCACAGACATTTGCCATGAGAAATTTGCCTCGGAACGTTTGCCACATACACAGATGAAATCAGAATTGCTCCGTGGCATGAAGGTCATTTAATTTCCCTAGTAATAAAAGTGTTCCGTGAAACTCTATATTTGGAATCTTTAATAGGGGGGTCTTGTTGTTCCATTGTTCCTTTTTCTATTGTGACTGGGGCGAAGAATATGACTAGTTATACAGGGTCCTTCGTTATGTAGAGGTTGTATCGAGGTTGAACTGCATGTATCCAGGTATCAGTTAAGTTTGTACATTCTCAGTTCCATTATAGTACTCCTCAGCGGCTTTTCTAAACGACAGTTCTGACAAACAAAATGAAAAAGCCGTTCAAGGACGATTTTACTGTTCAGATAAAATCGCATGTTTCGACTTGTCACCTGAAATGGATTACCTCGTATCTGTCTATTAATAAGAAGGGAGATTCCCCTCTTTCCCTCCAGAGTGAAATTTGTAGTTCTTAAGTTGGTGCTCATAACTGAAGGCGGCAAAATGAGGATGTTCTATCGACGAAAAGAATCCCCTTGTCACTTCACGGGTAAAAACAATCA